CCCTGCCATCATCCACCCAGTGCCGGTGCCAAACCTGACGCCGGCCGGAGCGTTCAGTTCCAGCAACGCGCGGCCCTGAGTTACGGCTTTAATAAAATCAAGGAAAACACTTTTATCTCCCATTCCCAGGGAGGCCGCAGGCCCCAGCAAAGGCTCCTGGGAGGTGTAGTCCGGCCCCACGCCGGGAGCCATTTGGGGGAGTGCGGCCGGAGCCCCCCAGTCTCGCCGTGCCCCTCGGGTGCCGCGTGCCGCGCCGGCATCTCCATGCCACGGCCAACCGCGGGCTGGCTCCGTGCACTGGGTGGGGTAATTATCAATCATCGGCGTTAATTACCACGCCATGCCGCCACGGCTGCCGGCACCGTGGCTGGGCCATGCTGGGGGGACACGGGGTGCTGGGGACAGGGACCCCCCTCCTGCCGGCACTGTGCCGGCCACTAAATTATCCGGTTTATCCGCCCCAGCGGCGTTCCAGCCGTGTGGAGCTGCGGAGCGCAGCTCGCTGGGAAGCGCTCCGGCTGCGCCGGCCCTGCCAAAGCCGGAATATTTTTAGCTCGTTCTGTTGTTGGGTTTGGCTTCTCTGTTTTTTTTTTTTTTTCGGCGCGTTTCTGCCGGGGTATTTTTAGCCAGATCCATGTTATTTTAACAACCTCCGGTGCGTTCGGGCTCCCATGTGTCGCCCAGGCCCCGGCGGGTGTGAGGGTCCGGCACGGGGACACCGCCACGCCGGGAAGTCGGAGAGAAGCCGGAGAGAAGCCAGCAGCACCCAGCGCTGGCGTCCCCCCGGGATCCCCCGTACAGCCACTGCGAGCCGGAGAGCAGTCGAGTCCCCATCCCAACCCCCCACCCTGGGGACAGGCTCCAAGCCCCCACCACGCCCCACGGCCCCCAAAAGCAGGGGGAAGCCAGGGTGGCCCCCTCAGCCCGGCGGTGGTCCCGGCAGTGAGACCGCCGGCACAAAGCGAAACCGCCCCGGCCGCGGGCCCGATCCAGCACTACCTCCGGCACCCCCCGGTGCCCCCCGGTTTCTGCCTTCTTCCAGGAGCCCCCGCCGCTGCCACCCCCCCCCGCGCCGGCCCGGCCGTGCCCCCCGCCCTAATCCACGCACTAATTGTAATCCCATTAAAGCAGATATAATTTTATTAGTATTCACAGCTCATCAAGGCGGCGACAATAACCGGCGCTGCCGCCGTGCCGTGGCCAGACAACCGCCCGCGCCGGCGGGAAGCAGGGGGCCCCGGTGCTGCACCGCGCCGAGCCGGCAACCCTGCACCCGCTCCAGCCCTGCTCCCGCTCCAGCTCCATCCCGGAGCTCAGCAGTGGCAGCAGGGGCCCCGCTGGCTGCACACTCAAAGCCCTCCATGCAGCGAACCCCAGTTTAGGTGCAGCGAACCCCAGTTCAGCCCTGCCCGGCTGCAGCCGAGCACATGCCGCAGACAAAGCCACGGGGGCAGCTGGCCGTGGCCGCCGGATGCGGTGACCCCTCGGCAGTGCCGGTTGCCCGTGCGGCGCTCAGCCGTGTGCCGCGCTTTGTCCGGCCCCGGCGGCAAACACGCGCCACGAACCCCTTCGCACCCTGACACTTCGGTGCCCAACATCAAGCCAGGGCTCGGTGACCTTCCACCGCCGCCCCACGGCCCCGCACATAACGGCCTCCTCGTTCCCCCGAGCGCCCGTTCGTCCAGGCACTGGGATCTCGCCGGAGCGGCCCGGGGGCCACGCTCCTCCCGTGCCGGCGGAGCGGCGGGGTGGGGGAACATCCCCCGTGTGTGCGTGAGTCCTCACCCCAAACCACCAGGCACAGTGACAGCGGGATCGGCACAAAGGGAGGCCGAGCTCCCGGTGCCGTACCGAGCCCCCCACACCCCTCCCGGCCCCTCGCGCCGCGGCCGCATCGAGCCCTCTGACCTGTGTGCGTGGCCATGGAGATGGGCGCCGGAAAGTACTTGGTGGGCTGGAAGTGTCCGGGGGGCTGCACGGCCCCGTGTGCCGACCCCGCCACGCGTCCGGAGCCGTGCCGGTGGCCCAGGCTGCCCCGCTCCGACAGCAGCCGCGGCGGGGGCGCGAAGTCACGGCCGTCCATGCCGGGGGCACCCACCCGCGGGGGGCTCGGCGGGACCCCGACACGGCTGGTGGGCGATGCTCAGCGCCGCGCCGGGCTGGCTCGGCGGGCGTCCTGCCGCGCTCCGCGCCGGGGCTGTCGGCTCATCCTCCGCTCCTGGCACGGGGGAGAGAAAGGAGAGAGTGAGAGCACGGCCAGGTTGGGGGTACGGCCCTCCCCACACCCCCAAACCCGCTCGCCCAGCACCCCGCTCCCAGTTTGCCCAGTGCACAGCTCCCTCTCTCTCCGTCTCGCAGGGCCGCGGTTTCCCCGGCACTGCCGGTGCACGGTCCCCGTTTCCCCGCCATCCCCAGAGCACGGCTCCCCTTTCCCCGGTACCCCCGGTTTGCAGCCCCCAGCTTTCCCAGCACCCCCAGTTCGTGGTGCCCAGTTTCCTGGAGGCACAGCCCCCCCCCCGTGTTCCGGGTGCTCCCGGAGCGCAGCCCCCCCTCCTTTATCCGGTGTCCCCGGTTCTCGACCCCAATCCCCCGGAGCCCGGGCACGGCCACCCCCAGCTCGGGGCCCGGTTCCCGCTGCTCCGGCCCTTCCTCCCCGCTGCCGAGCTCCAGTTTCCCGGCGCTCCGTTCTTCTATCTCCCCCGGCTCACCGACCGTATCTCCCCGGGGCTCGGCCCCCGCTCGTCCTCGGCTCCCCCGGTTCCCGTTGTGTCCCCGGTGCTCGGCGCCTCCCTCGCTGCGCTTCCACTATTTCCTTCCTTCCGTCCCCAGCCCCGATTCCCCGGTATCTCCCCGGTTTCCCTCCAGCCCCACTTCCCCGGTATTTCCCGGTGCCCGGACCCCTCCTCTCCGCGGTTCCCCGGTTATTTCCCCGGTGCCCTGCCCCGGTTTCCCGGTGTCGCCGCGGTGTCCCGGCCCCGGTTCTCGGTCCGTGCCGGTGCCCGGCCGCGGCTCCCGCCCGCCGGGTCATTGTTCTGGCAGCGCCGGGGCCGCGGGGCCCGATCCTGCGGGGGGAGCCGGGCACGGGCCGGGCGGCGGCGAACAAAGGGGCGCGGGGCGGCGAGCGCGGCCGGGGGCCGCGGGGGGCCCCGGGGGGGGCCCGGCCGGGGCCGCGGGCACCGGGGAGGAGTGCTGGGCCGAGCCCCGCGGCGAGAAACACGGGCCGGGGGGGAAAAAAAAAAAAAAAAATAACGTGTGTTTTCCTCACTAGAACCGAACAAAATTACGTAAAAAAAAAAAAAAAAAAAAGTGGGTTTTTTATTGATGTAAAAAAAATAAACGTAAAGCGAAAAAAATTAACGTGAATTAATCGAAAGGAGGAAAATATTTAAAGCGAAAAATTTAAGGCGAAAAGGGCTCGGTGCGAAAATGTTTGAAGGCGCAAACGGTTCAGTGAAGCAGCGTTTGATAAGCAAATGATTTAATGAACTAATGTTTTCACGCACAAAATTTTTAATGGACAAAATTTTAAGGCGAAGCGCTTTAAAGCGACGAGTTTTAACAGCAAAAAATGTTTTAACATAAAAAGACGAAAGGGGAAAAAATGTTTTAATGGGAAAACATGAAGGGGAAAAATATTTTGGTGGAAAGAGATACAGGGGAAAATATTCTGGTAGAAAAAGGTGAAGAGAAAAAAATATTTTTGAAGGAAAGAGACGAACGGAGAAAATATTTTGATGCCGGAAAGATGCAAAAAAAATATTTGGGTGCAAACAAATAAAGCGAAAAATAAATAGTGAGGAAAAAATGCAAAAAAAAAAAAAAAAAAAAAAGGAAATGTACAAAGAATGAAAAAAAATAAAAGGCAAAAATGCAAAATAATTAACGCCCAAAAATTTAAAAATAATAAATCCAAGAAAGCAAAGAAAAAAACATAAAGCGCAAAGCGCAAATAAAAATAATGCTGAAAACGCAAAACAAAACAGAAAAAAAAATTAATGCCCAAAAGAACCAAAATAAATAACGCCAAAAAAAATTGTTAAGGCGTAAAAAAAAAAAAAAAAAAAAAAAAGAACAGAAAAAGAAAACCAAAAAAAAAAAAAAACAACACAATAACCCCGGAGCGCCCGAAATTAAAATAACCCCCAAACAACAACAGCAACAACAACAACAACAACAAAAAACCCACCCGCGGATCGCAGTTACTTACCGGAGGGGCGTTCCGCGCGCGGGGCGAGTGCGGTCCCGTGGCGGGGGTGCGCAGCGTGCTCCTGCCGGTGCCCGTGCACTGCCCATGCACCGGCTGCTCCTGCAGCAAAGGGAACCGGGGGTGTGTGGTTGGGGGGGGCGGGCGGGCGGGCGGGCGGGCGGGCGGGGGGGGGGGGGGAGGGAGGGAGGGCGGGAAGGAAGGGGGGGTGGGCACAGGCGGGTGGGGTGCGGGGACACGCCGGGCCTCCCGCTAACGCAGCGAGTACTCCGGCGGGGCGTGCGCGCACCGCATGCTAATGAGCGCGTGCCCCGCGCGCGCGCCCCCGCGCTGATTGGCCGCCGCGCGGCGCTCGCGCCCCGCTGGCCATTGATCCCCCCCCGCCCCCCTCCCGCCGGCTCCATTCTTCCCGCGGCGCGCGCGCCGCGCGTCAGGCGAGCGCCCTCTCCTGATTGGTTGGAGCGCCGCCAGCCCGCCCGCCAATCGCGGCGCGGCGCGCGACGGCGCCTAATTCAAGCGCGGCGGATGAATGGGGAGGGGAATAGGCGGTGGCGCGCACGCGCACTGCGCCGCCCGGGAGGCGGTGGCGGGAGGGGGGTGTGTATTGGGGGGGCCCGCCCCGCCCTTCCCCGCTGCAGCGCGCGCGCCCCCCCCCGCGCGCCGATTGGCTGGCGGCGCGCCAGCGAGCTGTCAATCACGCAGTGTAAACAAGGCGCCGATTGGCCGGCGCCGATGGCGGTTTCGAGGCTCCCCACCCTCCTCCCCTTAGGGGGGTGTGGGGGGTGCACGCGCGGCCCGGGCGGTTTCGAGGCCCCCCCGCGCACAGCTCGGAGCGCCCCGGGCCGAGAGAGCGATCAAAGAGCGGCGAGAGGGGAGCGCACGGGCCGGGCTCCCGCAGGTGGGGGCCGGGGGCAACCGGGGGGCTGCGGGGCCTGCGCGCCCCGCAGGGTGCAGGCTGTAGCGCTGGGGGACGTGCGGGGCAAGGTGGGGTGTGCGGTGGCCGGGGGGTGCGGTGTGGGGGGCCGTGCACAGCAGGGTGGGGGCTGTGTAGTGTTGGGGGGCTGTGCAATATGGGGGGGGCCATGCAGAGCAGCGCCGGGGGGCTGTGCAATGCCGGGGGTGGCAGTTTTGGGGGTGTGCAGTGTTGGGGTCTGTGCGATGTGAGCGGGCCATGCAGAGCAATGGGGGGGGCTGTGCAAGGGGGGGACACAATATGGGAGGGCTGTGTGATGTTGGGGGGCTGTGCCGTGTGTGGGGGCCGTGCAGAGCAGGGTGGGGAGATGTGCAGTGTTTGAGGGGCTGTGCAGTGGGGTGGTACGATGTGGGGGGGCTGTGCAACGCGGGGGGTGCAGTGGGGGGAGGCCGTACAGAGCAGGATTGGGGGATGTGAACCGTGTGGGGTTGCAGTGTTGGGGGATCACACAGTACAGTGTCGGGGGGCTGTGCAATGTGGGGGGTGCAATGAGGGGGATCATGGAGAATAGGGTGGGGGGTTGTGCAGTGTGGGGGGTTGCTGGGTTGGGAGGATCACGCAGTGCAAGGTAGGGAGCCAATGTGGGGGGGGCTGTGCAGTGTTAGAAGTGCAACGTGGGAGGGGGAGAGTGAAATGTGAGGGGGCCCTGTGGTGCAAGGTGTGGGGGGGTCCAGTCCTAAATAACCCTGAAATGCTGGGGGGGAGAGTGCAGTGTTGGAGGGCCCTGCGGTGCAAGGTGAGTGGGGGTGCAGTGTTGGGGGGGCTGTGCCATGGGGGGTACAATGTTGGGGGGCTGTGTGCAGTGTTGGGGGGGGCAGGGTGGGAGGGGGCACTGCAAACTGAGGGGCTGTGTCACAGGAGGGGCTTCACAGGGTGAGGGACTGGGGACCACACAGTGGGAACAGGAGCAGGAAAGGTGTCGGGGGCCGGGGAGGGGGGGGGGGCCCAGCTACTGGGAGGGGGGCCCAGCAGAGGCTCCCACCGGGGTCCCCACTGGGGCCCTGCAGGGTGGGTTTTTTTCCTTTTTTGCAATAAAAGGCTGTAATTGATTGAAAAGGCTGAAATAAATTGCAATTTCTCATAACCACGATTAGATTACGGTGGGTGATTCATCACAGGGGACGGCAGTCGAGTCAGGAGGGAGCGGCCGGGGGCCCACAGGGACAGAGCCGAGCACACTGGGACGCACGGACACGGCGCGGGGACAGACAGATGGACAAGGACAGCCGGGAACAGGCGGCTGCACCGCGGGGCACGGCCCAGCACAGGCGCTGGTGCAGCGGGACGTGCAGCTGCAGCACAGAGCCGTGCCCAGGGACACACCGAGGGACACGCTGACACGCACACCGAAGGACACGGGATCACACCGGCAGCTCGGAGGCACAGCCTCCTTATCCTCTTCCATGGCCACCGTGTGAAGGCCGGTTGGATCCCTCTCCGTGTGGGAAAGGCCAGGAAAAAGCCGTTATGGATTATCCCAGTGTGTGGAGTCGGTGCTGGAGGGGAGCACGGTGCAGATCCCAGCGTCGGGGCTCCGCGGCGTTTGGCTGCCGGGGGTCCCGGAGCGCTGGGGAAGAGTTCCCTGACTGAAAAAGAAAACTGAAAAAGCCAAAAAAAGCGGCTGTGAGGCTCTTCCTTCCCCAGTGACGGCAGCGGGAGGGGGAAGGATCCGGGGGAACCTCCCATGCTGGGTGTGGGAAGGGGCTGAGTCAGGGGGCTGTGGAGCACCAAGCCCATGTCCCTGGGCACGGTGGGCAGACCCCCAGGGGGAACACTCCCCACATGGCAAACCCCCTGCTGTGGGCGGCCTCCCTCCCTGGGCAGACCACCCTCTGTGAGTTGGCATCCCCAGAGGCACGGCCCCCTCTGCCTGTGGGCAGACCCACTCTTGGGGGTGCATTCCCTCTGAGCAGCCGCCCCAGTGGGTAGGCAGACCCCCTGCTGTGGTTGTACATCCCACACGAGCAGCTCCCCCAGCCCGGGGGTACAACTCCACTGTGCCGAGGTTGATCAGTGAAGTGAGCCCAAATGAGTGCAATTAAAGTCAATTTAATGAGGACCCCCCCACATCCACCCCCCAGCCCTGCAGCTGCCTTTGTCCGCTGCTGCTGCTGAACACACGGTGTCTGTCCCACCCCCCCACTGGGCCTGTACCACTGCAGAGCCCCTGAGCACGGGGGGCAGTGGCTGAGGCCAAGGCCTGTCCCTGCCCTGGGGACTGACTGGGATGTGTTTGGGGGTGCAGCAAGGAGGCTGCAGCCCCAGCAGTGTCCCCCCTCCTCAGCTGTTCTCCCGAGCTTCATCCTCCTGGGAGCTGCCAAGCCCCCTCGGAAGAAAGAGGAGGCTGGAGGATCCCCCAACACTCCTTGGGTGGGAGCTGGAGCAACCCCTGGCTCTGCCTGGACCCCCAGCACTGCTGCAGCGGGACCCCCTGGCTGGTGTGACCCACTGCCGTCCTCCAAGGCTCATCCCAGGGCTCTGCATGGCACGGAACAGCAGGTATGGCTCCCAGGATAGGCAGTTTTCCAGCTGGCTGTGGCATTCCCGGCGCGTCTCAAGGCCGTCTGCGTCCAAGGGTCGTGTTTGTGGTGCAGAGGGACGAGGTGGCTCAGCACCACTGTCCCCTCTGCTCCCAGCTCAGGGCCCTCGCCCCCTGCCCGGCGCTCCCCGGGGCTGGTGGGCAGCGGGGGGCACAGAGCCACAGCCGCTCGGGGGTCCGAGGAAAAAGGAAGGAACTTAACTCCCATTAACCATCCCATTGTACTGGCCGTGGGAATAATCGGGTTTGCTAATGCAATTGCTGCCGCGATGCGAAAATCCGACTGGAAAATGTATTAGAGCAATTATCCGCCTCCCTCCGCAGCCGGCGGAGCATTAATATTCAATTTTGATGTGGAAGCCCTATTATGTTAATGACTTTGGTGACAAAAGTCGTTAATGCAAGACGTTCCCTTCATGGCAGCAGCATCAGCCGGGGCGAGCAGGGGCTGCTGCCATGGGATGGGATGGGGCACGGTGCGAGGGTGCGGGGTGGGGCTGTGGGGGGTCCGGGAGGAGCCCCCTCCCCGGCCTTACGGGGGTCCTGGTGCTCGGGTCGAGCAGCCGCTCCGCGTTCTGGAGGTGCCGGAGCTCCCGGGTCTGTGCCGGGGCGGATTAGCCGCGCTGCAGCACACCCGGCAGCGCCGCTCCCTCCCCGCAGCTGCCCTCCTTTGTTCTCTGCCCGAGCCCGGGGAGATGCACCGGGGGTTCCCCGCCTGCCGGGAGGCGCTGGCCGGTGTCCCGGCCATCAGGTGACACTGGTGCCGTGCCCCTGCCCCGGTGCTGCTGCCGCAGTTTGGGCAGTGCCATGGGCAGGCCTGGATGGTGGATCTGGAGCTGTGGGCTGGTGGTGGGGGGCACAGGGAGGGGGGTGAGGAGCAAACCATCAGTAGAAGCAGCACCCCCTGGCCTTGCCATCAGCAGCCACCATTGCAGCTCCCATGTCAGTGCCATGGGCAGCGTGAGGCTGAGCTGCACCGTGACAGTGTCCCAGAGCTGCTGGAAGGGACAGGAAGGGGCAAACATGGAGCTGAGAGCTGCCTGTGACAGAGAAAACGACCATGACCTTCACCTCTCCAGCAAAGGGCTTGTACCCTGGGCTGGGAATGACTGAAGGCCCCGGCTTTGGTGTGAGTGTGGCTGGCAGAGGGTGGCCCTGTGGCACAGGAACCCAGCTGGCGTGGCACTGGGGCTGGTTGGGAAGGAGGAAATTTTTCAGGGCCAAGGAGGGGACAGCAGAACCCAGACACAACCCAGGCATAGGCTGGGATTTCTGTTGGCCCTTTCCAGGCTCCCCCAGGAGGCTCCTGCCAGGTGCTGTCCCCTCTGTGCAGTGAGTGTTCTGTGTCCCAGTACAGGGATTGGCACGCGGCTGTATCCCCACCCTGGGGATCCATGTATGGCACAGCTCTGCCTGCATGGGGGCTGTAGCAGTTGGGATTTGTTGCCCAGAGCCCCCCAGTATGATGCCACCCACCCCCAGACCTGGTTCTGATGGGCGAATGGGGCCACAGGCACCCCAGCACAGCATAACCCTGCTGCCACCTTGGGCTCCCTGACCCACAACACACCCGGGACAGCAGCCGAGGGACCCGTCCAGGGTGTCCCCCGCGCTCTGCCGGGGCAGGAAGGTGCCGCGCTGATGCTGCCACACGGGATCCGGCACTGACGGTGCACGGTTGGGCAGGTGTCCTTGGGGCTGCTGGGGGCGGGACACCCCCTGGGGACACAGGACCGCTCTGGGGACGCACCCCGGTGGCCCGGGGCCGTTCCGGGCGCGGCAGGGCCGGGTCCTTCCCCGGTCCCCTCGCGGTCCCCTCGCTGTCCCCGCTCCCGTCTCCGCGCGCACGTGGCCGGGCCGGGCCGTGCCCCGGGCCCCGCCCCGCGCCTCCATTGGCCCAGGGTCCCTCGTCCCGCGCTCCCATTGGCCCAGCGCCCCCCGTCCCGCGCTCCCATTGGCCCCGGCGCCCTCCACAAACAAAGGCCGGCGCCCAGCGGGGGGCCCGACGCGCGGCGCTGATTGGTGGGGCGGAGGAGGCGGGGCGGGCCCGGGCAGGCCCCGCCTCCCGAGCCACGCCGGGTGCCCTAACAAGGAGAGGGGCGGGGCGTGCCCATTCATGCGGCAGGGGAGGGGCGGGGCCAGCGCGGGGGCCGCGCTTCCCGCGCGCGGCGCGTTCCCACGGCGCGGGCGGGCGAATGAATGGGCGCGCGCGGAGGGCCCCGCACGGCTCGGTACGGCCCCATAATGCTCCGCACGGCTCGGTACGGCCCGGTAATGCTCCGCACGGCTCGGTAAGGCTCCGTACGGCCCCCTACGCCTCGAGGCCATTGCCGCGCGTGGGTACGTGCGGGTGGGGAGCGTGTCCACTCGCGGGTGTGACGGTGCCAGGGCGCGCGCGATGCGTGTCCTGCCTGTGTGTGTCCCTGCGTGTCCCCGGCGCTGCCGCGTCCACACGCACCCTGCTCTGTGCCTTCCACACCCACGCGTGTCCGCCCCCCTCCCCCGCGCGTTTGTTGTGCTGGGAGGTGAGGGGCGTTTCCCGGGGCCCCCCACGATCGCGGCTCTGCATCGCCCCAGCCCGGCCCTGCAGGTGCCCAAGGACACCACCATCGCTCCCCACAGCCTGGGGACCCCCATCCCAAAACCCACCCCACAGCTGCCCCTGGGGTGACACCATGTGGGGGGTCACCACTGCCTCTCACCTCCCCCCAAAACGGGCTGTGCTGTGTATCCCACTGTGCTGCTATACCCCCCCCCCGCACAGATCAGCCCCCTTGCCTCCATCTCCCTCATCATGCCCATAAATTGATTCCCAATCCGTTTCCCACCCTGCCAGCCCCTCGCGGGACACGCGGCCGCTCCCGGCCCGCGCCGGAGACGTGGACTGAACTTTGGTCCCCAAGCAATTAAGGTGCCTGAAACTGCACTTCATTAATGATTGTTCCGCAATAAAACCCATCAAACTGCCCTTATTTGCAATATAAAACCGCAATTTGTTTTAATTTATGTTTTTCCATCCTTGCCGGGTGGTTCCTGGGATCTACCAGGAGTCTGTCACCAGAGCCAGCCGTGGGGAGCAGAGTAGTGGGTGCTGGTCCCCGTGAGAAGGGGGGACATGGGGTGGTGGGTGGGCGCAGACCCTCAGGGGCACCATGGCATGGGTGGCCTCTGCCCCAGGTCTGGAGAGGAGGTTCCCATTCCTTCCCATTCCCCCTGGACCATGTGCTGTGTCCCCCAGGAAGGGAGGGCAGGGATGTTCCCAGGCTGCTCTCACGGTTCCAGGGAAGAGCATCCCTGTGCCATGGGAAGGTTCATGGGAACCCCCCCAACCCAGAGCTGCCACTGAGGCGAATTCCTGAAGAAAAATCTCCGTGAGCAAGGGTGAGATGGGGGTGGGAGCCCCTGTGCCTGCATTTCATTGAGGAGAGGTGGGCCCGGCCCTTTTCCTGGGACAGCATCACTGGTGGGAGCTGGGAATCTGGCTCAGCTAAGGCTGGGGTGTGCACACACATGGAGCTGTCACATCCGACACAGCAGCGGCACCTGGAGCTCCCAAGGGATTTGTACTTCCATAAAGCAGCGCGGAATCCCCGCGGGATCAGCCGGCCCTGAGCCCCCATTTCTAATTACAGTAATTGTGGCTCTGGCATCCTCTGGGGCCGGTTGTTCTCCCGGGCTCCAAATCCAGGCGGGAGGAATCTGGGCCATGGGGCAGGACTGGGAAGGGCTCTGAGCCGCCCGGGCTTCCCGGTGGATCTGTGATGGGAATGCTGCCACCGGCTGCCAAATCCAAAAGGGCCCTTTGCCGGCTCCCAGTGTCCTGTGCTGGCACAGGGGGGTCCCCATCCCAGCTGGCAGCTCCTCATGCAGGTGCCCGGCCATGCAGGGAGTTGGGACTTTCCAGGGAATTCTCCCTTGCTATCAGCAGGTCCACAATGGGAATCTGCCCCGGCGCTGCTGGGGAGGGACACAGTCAGTGCTGGGACAGAGCCCGGCTCCTGCTGGAGGCAAGATTTGGCCCTGGAGCGTTTGGAACTGCAGAAAACCCCCATCCCTCGGGATGGGCATGGAGATCCCAGGGGGAGGTGGCAGAGCGGGGCCTTCTCCCTTGGTATCCCCATCCCATAGGAATTCCCAGCTGGCTCTGGATGCTTCCCAGGCTCCCACTCACACATGGAGAAGCCACTGGAGCTCTTTTCCTGGCAGTGCTGAGGCAGAACATGCCGGGGGCACCCCCAAAGCGGCTCCGTGACACCCCAAGGGGATCCCTCAGCCCAGCCCGAGGACACACACGGACACGGCCCCTGCTCTGGCACAGGAGCCAGGAAAGCGCCGCCGGAGCTACTGATCCCGCGCCACACCTGGAGGGAATTAGGCCGCCTGTTCACCTCCCTGCAAACCTTTTGTAGAGCGAATTCCTGCGGTTTCCAGTCGCAATTGCTGCAAATTATACGAGCGCCGCGTGTTTCGCTCCGACGGGAGCGCGTGTGCTGCGCTGACCTGCTGCTGTGCATGGCCTCGGGGGACCCTGCTACAGCTCCCCGCAGCTTTCCTGCTATTCTCCTTGGGTTTTCTGCCTTGTCCTGCAGGATTCTGGGGGATCCGTCTACGGTGGGCTTTGGGATCGCTCCGGTTGGGATGGGGAGCAGATGCGTTGTGTGTGCACAGCTGGATGCATGCCCAGATATGCACCCAGGAGGGGGTTCCCGGGGGGATGTGCTGCCCTCGAGGGGCCGTTCAGGATCCCCCCATCGCCCCGGGGACTCCTGCCCGGATGCCAGTGCTGTGGTCATGTGCATGCGTGCACATGCATGCAATGTGGAGCCATGCGCACAGCCATGTGCTTTCCATGCATGTGCGTGTGTGTTTGTGCACTCCCGCACCCCCCTGGCCGCACTGAGCTCCCCGAGGGTGCCCCCAGCAGCGGGGACCCCCCGTTATCCCTCCCGGCCTCCCAGGACCAGCGAGAACGGTCCTCCAAGGCGGCAGGAGCGTCCCCACTCGGCGGTCGAACCACGTGACTTCCGGGAGCGGCGGCGGAAGACGGAAGTGCCGCTGTGGCCGGTGCCGGGTCGGGGCGGGCCTGGCGGGGCCATGGCGGGCACGGCCGGCTGAGGGGACCGGGGGCACCGGGGGGGTCCAGGAGGATCGAAGGGCTCCAAGCCGGCCGAGGGGCGCGGGGAGCGGCCACAAACCGGACCCCCCCCTCGCCGCGGGGACCCCCCGCCGCGGACCATGGCGGCGGCGGCGGCGGCGGGATCCAACTGGGGCCTGATCATGAACGTGGTGAACAGCATCGTGGGCGTGAGCGTGCTCACCGTGCCCTTCTGCTTCCGACAGGTAAGCGCCCGCTCCGCGGCCCCCCCGGCGCTGGGGGGGCTCCCCGGGGCCGCCCGGTGGGGAGGGTGATCCCGCCGGTGGCTCCCAGGCTGGGGCGGCTGTGCCGGGCCCTGCCCTGGTCAGCCAAAAGCCCCCGTGCGGGTGCTGCCCCACTCCGGGGTACCCGGGAGGAGGGCAGGCAGAGGCCACGTTTGCCCCCCTGGTCCGAATTTGGGGAGTGGTTCAGGGGTCGGCAGAGGAAAGTCAGCAAAGGAAACGCTGAAGACTCAGATCAGGCCTCCCTTGAACCAAACAATGCGTTTTTCTTTGTGGTGGGGTCTCCAGCTCGTCATCTCTAAACCAAACTCTGTGTTTTCCCCTTCCCTGGGGTCTCCAACTGATCAGTCCTGCCCTTCTTGTGAGGAGAAGGAAAAACTAAATCAAAGGATTTGTCCATGTGACAAGCACGAGTCGATTTGGAGGCGTTTGCAAATGCCTGCTGTGCCCCCAAGCCTCAACCCCAGGATCTGCCCCATCCCCAGGGCCCCCCTGCCTCAAAACAGCAGGAAAAGGGCAGCTGGGATCAGGATTTGGGCCTGTTCCAAGTCACCTGCTTGAAAAGTGACCTGTGGTTCCCACCCTGTGCAGAGGGAGGTAGGAGAGGAGCTGGTTGAGGGGTTTGGGATACCAAGGAGTGGTTAATTTATCAAGCTACAGCAGGGGTGGAACCTCGGGGTCTGTCTGTGCTCCCTGGACCTGCTGGGGGATGAGCCAGGGGGGAAGTTCTGCTCCACAACCCACTCCCAGTTCACTCCTGGGAACTTCAACTGGTGCAGCTGAGGGCTGTGGGAAACACGAGTGTGTTCCCTGTGGCCTTGGGCTGTGGAGAGAGTGATATGGAGCTGATGGGGAAGGGAGGGAATTCTGTGAAACAGAGAAAAGCGTGGCTGGAATTACCCGGGGGTGCTGAGGGAGGGCCTGACCCCTCACCTCCCACTGGTTTCTTCCCCCTGTGCTCTGTTCCAGTGTGGGATCATCCTGGGGGCTGTGCTGCTGATCTTCTGCTCGTGGATGACCCACCAGTCCTGCATGTTCCTGGTGAAGTCGGCCAACCTGAGCAAGCGCAGGACCTACCCCGGCCTGGGTGAGACCCCTGCCCCAGAGCTGCTCCCCAGCCCTCCCTGCTGGCTCTTACACCTGCAGCGTGACCTGGGCCTCCCAATTTCCATTTTCCCACTGGTGCTGCTGGAACAGCCGATGTTTCCCTGCTGCAGTTCCCGTTCTCCCCCGGGGCAGCGCCGGGGTCTGATCCTGCCCCCGACAGCCCAGCTAATGGTGCTGAGTTGTTTTGGCTCCCCAGGGCAGGGGAGGAGGTGCAGCACTGCCCGATCCAAACCCCAGCTCCCGGGAGGCGTCTGGGATGAATTAATTGTGGGTCTGGGATGAATTAATTGTGGATCTGGGCACGAGTTCCCCGCCCGGCGCTGCCGGGACAGCGGGTGCTGCCAGCCTGGCATGGAGCTGGGCTGCCTGGAGCCGAGCTGGGAGCTCCTTTATGGCTCAGCAGAGAGGAAACAGCGTGAGCTTCCAAGGGCCTGAGAAACCAGAAACATCTGGAAGGTCCCTGGGTGGGTTTTGGCAGGGCCTGGCCGCCCTCGGAGCACAGTGCTGGCGCCAGGAGCCCGTGGCCTCTCTTGGAATCCTGACTGACCTGGGGGGCAGGAGGAGGTGGGGGGGTTCCAGTGCTCTCCATTGCACGTGAAACAGCAGGAAAAGCCACCTTTTCCTTGTTTTCCCTTATTTTCCCGTGGGAGGAGGGCGCTGGCTGGCGCTGCCCTGGTACAAGGGTGCTGACAGATGGGTTTGCTCCTCCCTCCGGGTGCCCGAGGTACTGCTCCCGGGAAGTACTTTCTGGCTGCTAGGAACGGGAAAGCTGGAGCAGCTCCGTGGTCTGGGGGTTGTTGTGATGCCGGAGAGAAGGGGGAGCCCCCGTTCCAGCTGCCAGTGCCGCCCCCCCGGCCCCCTCCACACGCCTTTGTGTGCTGCTTCCCGCAGTACACAGAGTCCCCTCCACCTTGGAGCGTGTCCTGGGAAAAGGGATCCTCTGCACGCTCTCAAGCCAAGGGGCTGGAATACAGAGGGCCAGTAATGCTTCCCAGCTTCCTTCTGGCACGAGGGGGCTGGCAGCCGTGCTGTGCCCGCTCCCTGTGCCCTGGGAGAGGAGCCACGGGCAGGGACAGCCCCGGGAGCACTCCCGCGCCGCATCCCAATGCTCCGGGGTCGGGCAGCTCCACACAGACCCCCTTTGTCCCCGCGGGCCGGGCCCGGGGACATCTGCGGGCACTCCTGGCAGCCTCGGGGCCGATGCTGTGGGAGGATTTGGCAGCGCTGAGCCAGGGAGGAGAGTTGTGCACATTCCCTTTGGGCAGGCACTGCCTCCCGGAGGGACGGCGGCACAGAGGAGGGGCTGGCCCGGGCTGGGGCTGGGGGTGGGCCATCAGTGCTGCAGGGAGGGGAAGGGCCTCGGGCAGGTGTGTGGGCGAGGAGGGAAGCAGGATGCAGTTCCCAGATGGATTTTAACCAGGAGATGGGCGAATCCCTCCCTTCTGGCTGTGCAGGGGCTGTGCTGGCCTTGGGGCAGCTCAGCCCCACAGGGGGGCTGAGGAACCACCTTGGGTTTAAA